CCACAAGTCTTAAAGTTGCCAAGGTTGGACACCCCTGTTCTAGACTGTTCCTTTCTTGTCTCCACCTCCACACTCTGCCTGCTCCTTCTCCTACACCTTCTCCCCCTAAAGCAGCTCTTCTCTGTTGCTTTAAAATTAATCCTGCTTTCTTTTCTTGAAAGGGTTTCCTGGCCCTCCTGGAGATCCGGGTTCAAAAGGGCGACAAGGAGTTGACGGGGCGGATGGACTGCCTGGTCCAGAAGGCTGTCCTGGTTTGGTTGGCCCAAATGGATCCCCCGGTGATGTCTTTGGGGCTGAACCAGGGTCCCAAGGAGAACCTGGCTTACCTGGCTTACCCGGAGATAAAGGCTTTCCTGGAGATTTTGGCTTTCCTGGAACACCAGGTAAGTTCTGAGCATTTTTTTTTTTAAAAAAAACACCAACCGAAAAGTTACTGAAATTGAACAGGTCTGTTCATGGTTCCTTTTTGTATGGGGAAATCTCCCATGTATGGGGGTTTGAGTTCAAAGAGGGTTCAAAGATTTTTTGAGTTCAAAGAGGGAAGATAGAGAGATTTAAATGGGCTAAATGGTTAAAGAAATCTACTGAAGAGAATATTGAGTTCTAGCCTTTTGATTTCTCTAAGCAGCCATTGATGGCTTGTCTTTCTGGAACAATCCATAGTGGTCTCATTTCTTATTATAGAAAAGTCAACCTAGTTTACAGTTCACAGTGACTGACTTCACATATCCCCCAAAAAGATAAAAAATCACAAGTCGAAAATCATTTCTTGCTGGTAAAATGTTGGGATAGAAGTTGCCATTTTTTGCAGTTCCTGCAATATATCCTTTCCCCTAAAAATGAATATTTAAGGAAATATGAGCAAACAAACAAAATCAGCCAGCTATTGTCATAGCTATGCTAACTTGTCTGACTTATACTTTCCAGAAAAAAAAAGCAAGCACTGTCTCACTTCATTTCAAAGGCAATGTAAACAATTCATCATGTATTTATTTAATTACCTACATTTATAGCCAAAAGGTTACAGATATCTTCTGGGGACAAGCTAATTCAATGGAAATGAGAGCTGCCATCTGTTTACAAAAGAAAACCAGTTCCTCACCTTTATAGTTAATGAGATAAGATTATAATGAAATTGCATTCTGAATTTCAATTAATGTCCTCTTAACCTTGAGGTGGAGCCTTCTAATCAGAAGTTGTGTTCAGATCAAATCATATCCCTCATTGTCATGAATTACTTCTGGTTTGAAATCATTACATATTGCAAGATCCAATCTGGGTCGTCACTGGGACCAAAGATTTAGTCTTCTGAGCTTTCTGATGAGTGTTGGAGCTCATCTACAGGCAATTTCACTCTACTGGAATATTTGTTTTGGGCTATGAGTCATATTTATGTGATGTATACACACACACACACACACACACACACACACACACACCTGTAGCTACATATTTAACATAAGGATACACAGCTATTTCCACAGTGAGAACCACTGTTGGCCACTGAGTATCAAATCAGGATCTCACTCAACTCGATGGGGCTGGAAAAAAATCCTGCCTTGACTTTAGATTCATTTACATTTAAATATAATTAAATTAAATATCACAAATAGGATTTTTCTCCAACTGGGTATACAGTAAGCGCTTTCTTGCATCACTTTTAAAACTTGCTTTTTGAGCCTTCCAGAGATTGGAAATGTCAACCAGCCAAGGAGCTCACAACAGATTTCACTCGGGGTGACTTGATAGCAGTCTTCTGGTATTTGAGAAGAGGGGGTCAGCCTTGTCTCCAAACACTTGAGGGCAGAACAAGAAGTAATGGATGGAAACTAATCAAGGAGAGAAGCAACCTAGAAGGAAAGGAGACCTAACAGTGAGAACAATTAATCAATGGAACGGCTTGCCTCCAGAAATTGTGATGCTCCATTACTGGAGCTTTTAAAGAAAACATTGGACAGCCATTTTTTCCAGAATGGCATAGGGTTGCCTGCTTGAGCAGGGGCTTGGACTAGAACAAGGGTCTCCAACCTTGGCAACTTTAAGACTTATGGACTTCCAACTCCCAGAATTCCTCGGCCAGCATGCTGGTCTAGGAATTCTGGGAGTTGAAGTCCACAAGTCTTAAGGTTGCCAAGGTTGGAGTCCCCTGGACTAGAAGACTCACAGGTCCCTTCCAACTCTGTTGTTCTGTCATGATGCCCAAATCAGTCCCATGAGTTTTGTTGAGCACCTGTGTAAGGGGGAAAAGAATGGGAGTTGTTAGATCTTTTTCGGTTTCCAGGTTTGGATGGAAGGCCTGGCCTATCGGGTAGAAAAGGAGGACGTGGGGAGCCGGGTCTTCCAGGTTTTGATGGACTGCAAGGACCACCAGGAGCAGGAGGTCCATTTGGCATCAAAGGAAAACCAGGTCCCTTGGGAACAACCGGCCTTCCAGGATCACAAGGTATGGATTGTTTCACCCTGGATGAAGGTGTGTTGCCTTCAGATGTTCCTGCAGGTTGCCCACTTGAGACCTGTCCTTGAGCTTGATAGCACTTTGTCCAGGTGCTTCTAAACTTATGCAGGAGATTCCAGAAATCTGGAGATGAGATGAGAGAACAAAGCAGATGCCGAAACTCTCAGCCAAATACACCAAACCGGCATTGAATACGGGTAGTCCTCGAATTATGACCATCGATGAACCTGGAATTACAGTCATTAGTCATTGCGGTGGTTAAGCAGGTCACTCACATGATTGCACCTGATTTTGCAACATTTTTTGCAGTGGTCATTAAGTAAACACTACAGTCATGAAACAGATCCATTTTTTTGGGCTGGAAACCAGGAAAAAAGGCCGGGAACCCACAAAAACCCACTGAAAACTGTAGTCACGTGACCCCAAGATCAATGCATTTGCTCACATTTATGCAGACAGCCGTAAACTAATTGCTAGATGCCCCAAATGTGATCACATGACTAGGGAGGTTGATCACTTGACCACAGGAGGGAGTTATGCACTTGTCAGAATTTCAAAGTCAAGTCATGAGTACCTTTTTAAAGAATCCGTTGTAATTTTGAACAGTCACTAAGCAACCAGTCATTAAATGAGGACTACCTGAATAATGAAAAGAATATTGCGGGGAGGGGGGTGTTTGGCACACTGCAAAGGATTACATTAATGTCCAAGAATGTTTCTGGGCACCGCTTAGAGACTCTCAACCCAGCCCACCTCACAGAGGAAAGTAGGAGGAAGAAGGAATGTTAGAATATGTTTGTCGCCTTGAGTTATTTATAAAAAATAATAATAAAAGCAGGATTAAAAAAAATATTTTAAAAATACTGTCCAATCTGCCTCAGATTGATCATTGTACCAACAATTTAACTGAAGATTATAGAAAATGAGCCTTTTCATTTCATGATCATATCATTCACAACTAACTTTCATGATCCATATTCATTGATTAATTTCAGGAAATTTCCATACCTTGGAAGATTTGCACCCCATCCATTTATTCTCATTCATGTTGTCCAATGCCATCCTGTGATCTTCCTAAGCAACCAGAAACATGGGTGCTTTTTGCAACTGGACCTTGTTTTTTCCTTGAAAATGTTTCGCTTCTTGGATGAGAAGCAAAGCATCTTCAAGAAAAAACAAAGTCCAGTTGCCTTTTGAAAAAGCACCTTTGGGACAACCATGACCTGGATGACTGGGAATCTCTATAGAAAATCAGAAAACCAGTTTTCTTAATTTCTCAACAGCCTCTTGGATGTATTGCAGTTGTAATAGCCACAAGTCCCTGTAGATGAAACTGTTTGGAGTTTAATAAATGACACCACAATAAACCATTCTATTGTCGAACAAGAATAAAAACAGTTCAAGTGCAGTGTTTAACTCCATTCCAAGCATAATTCCAACCATTCTTGTTCTGGAACAGAAATTAAATCAAATGCAAATCCCTACACCAGTGATTCTAAATTTAGGCACTAAATTTAACAATTGTTGTGTTTGGTACCAGCTGTAACTGATGGTTACAGTTTCCCTTTCTTGTTTGATAAAGTGCCCCTTCAATAATCTCAGCCAATTTCCTTCCATCACCATCCAGAACCTTTTAATGAAGGTGCTAGGAATTGGTTTACTTCTGCTGGCATTATACAGTATATACGCTGACTTGTGATACTTCCACTTGGCCATGTATGGATCCTTCATCCAGAGGGGAATCCATCTCTCATCCACATCCTGGATAACTGAGCTGCCAATTAAGGTGGTGGAAAGTGGTCTTCTCTGGTCTTGATGCCACAGCAGGAACAGTTCCTTCAAATAAAAATATGAAGTCCTGGGATATCGGGGTGGGCCGAGGGAATAAAATCTGGGGGAATAAAAAATGTTCAAAGGAAATCCTGGAGGGAAACTATATTTCTCTTAACATCTGTAGAGGTTGTCAGTCATTCAGGTCGTGGTTGTCCCAAAGATACTTTTTCAAGAAGCAACTGGACTTTCTTGTTTTTCTTTGAAGACATTTCGCTTCCCATCCAAGAAGCTTCTTCAGCTCTGACTGGCTCTCTAAAAGAATGCAAATGACCAGCTGTCTACAAGGAGTATAAATCCTTCCATTTCCCACCATCCAGTCAGAGCTGAAGAAGCTTCTTGAATTAGAAACGAAATGTCTTCAAAGAAAAACCAGAAAGTCCAGTTGACTCTTGAAAAAGCACCTTTGGGACAATCGTTCCCTTACTCAAATATTTTTACCTCCAACACCAGCAGCCCTGTTTTCACATTCCTGTCTACTGTCTCCATCCACCCAACCCCAGGGAACCCCATCCATACATTTGATCTAAGCTGTGTTGAGAAAGAGCTCCGTTGTCCCAAAGGTCCTTTTTCAGAAGACAAATGGGGTTTCATTATTTTTCCTGGAAGACGTTTCGCTTCTCATCTTCTTGGATGAAAAGTGAAATGTCTTCAAGCAAAAATAAAGAAAGTCCAGTTGCCTTCTGAAAAAGCATCTTTGGGACAATCATGACTTGGATGACGGAGAGTCTCCACGGAGAAAGAGCTCAGTTGTTTTCCAAGTCATTAACTTCATTCTCGGCCTTGTGCTTTCTTCCTGGTTCACATGTTTTTGTCTGTTTTTCCTCACCATGTTTCTGTTCCATTTGCCATCATCTCTCCATTTCTGATGTCACACTGTTTTGGTTTTGGGGGTTCTTCACATAGGCTGCCAAGGTGAGAGCAAATGCTTTGTAGCGTAAAAACTCTTGGACTAACAGCTGCCTAGCCTATTATGCTACAAAATGTGCGCTGACTGTGATACCCCTTATTTCAATCCTGCAAAGAATTGTAGCCTTCACCTTTTCAGAAAGGGATTTGTATGTAGGAGGTGCCGCACATGGGCTTCTTATCCTGGAGAAGGTCTATCGGTGTAGCCACTGAATCTGGAGAAGGTCCATCTGTCTGGACATTAAGAGTCAATGCCAACTCAATGTGCAAAGAATCACTCAGCCAACATGGACTTCCACTTAGTTTTAGATGCTTGGTTTTTCCCATTTGCAAACATTTTATATCTTTCCTGAAAAAGAGCCTGTGGCTTTTAAGTCAGGGGTCCCCAACCCCTGGGCCACTGCCCATTATTGGGCCACAGCTTGTTCGGAACTGGGCCATGGAAGTTGTGGGCAATGAACTCTCCTCCTCTCCACCCTGCCCCAGTCCACAAAAGCCAGAAAAGTTGGGGAAAGCTGCTTTAAATGATGTTTTCGTCAATATTGTACAACGCTTGTTGGGTTCTTTTAGTCTCCTGGCATTACTCTTTTTTGTTGCTGTCTGTCTGAAAAAAAACACCATCTGGACCTTTAAGACTCAACCTGACAAATTCAGAAGCTAAAGTCTCCCCGTAGGGCTGGTTTTATCAGCAAAGTTATTTCTAGCATTGTCAGCACAATTTTACAGATCATTGTTTAGATTCTGCCTCAGTCATGCTTCAGCTTTTAAATTTAATTTTAAAAAGTAAAGACTAGATCAAATTGAGCTTGACTTCTGGTGACTGGATAGATATACTGATGATAATTTTACTGGCAACAACATTGGTGTGAATTGCCAAAGTTTTCTCCTGGAAGGTCTACAATTTTACAGTCCAGACTACAGTCCTATCCATTGATGTCCAATCCAAGCACTAACCAGGTCCAACTCTGCTCAGCTTTATCCAGATTAGTTACAGTCAGTTTACTGCTGCCACTAGTGTGACTTCCTCGAGTCAAGCACAATTTGTGTTTTCATCCATGTACAAGTGACTATTTCCCTTTAACATTAATAGGTTTTCTTCTCCACTGGAATCCAGTCCAGGTCACTGTCTATAGAGTAAAGAGTATAGAGTAAAGCAAAAGCAAAGCCCGGGAAAAACATTTTGGTATGATTTAGAATGACAGTAGCAAGTGGAAAGTGACACACCAAGAGGTTTCTGGGTCCCCTATATGACTCACCTGTTTCCCAAATGGTAACTGATAACAGCTCAATTAACCCAACCATAAGGGGTTTCACTGTTGGCAGTTGTCCGTTGGTATAGGCAGTAGCTTTCCTAGAGCTTTTTAATCATTAGGCAACTAATACTTTTTAAAAAAAACTTTTCTAACCTTGTGTGCTTTAGAAAGGCTGCATGATTTATTTATTTTAGCCGCAGTTCAGTTAGCTGAATACAAATAAAACGCTTTAGTGTTAACCTCTTGAAAGATGGCGCAGGGATGGTAGAAATGTTTGCCTTTGGAAGAACATCTTGCTGATGGTTTGGGTTTTGAACCATTCAGGACCTCCCGGAACCAAAGGGCCAAGAGGAGATGCTGGTTCACCAGGTCCTGCCGGCATGAAAGGGTTCCCAGGGCTTGATGGCCTGCCAGGACGGCCTGGAGAACAAGGGTTGCCTGGACCTCCAGGTCTCTGGGGCCCAAAAGGAACTTCAGGTTTTCAAGGCTCAAAAGGTAATTTTATTTTTATTTATTTGTTTGTTTGTCAAGCATGTATTGGATAACAGATATAAGTATAAACATAATTATGAATACATGAAATTAAATGGATAGAATAAAAGGGAACATTAGGACAGGGACATTGGTGCGCTTATGCACACGCCTCTTAGGAATGGGGTGAGGTCAGAGGTGGCATTAATCAGGTCCTGACCAGTTCTGAAGTCACTTTTTCAGTGCGACTGTAATTTTTGAATATACAGTTGTGCTCCTAAGTTTATATACCCTGGCAGAATTTATGATTTCTTGGCCATTTTTCAGAGAATATGAATGATAACACAAAAACTTTTCTTTCACTCATGGTTAGTGGTTGTCTGAAGCCATTTATTATCAATCAACTGTGTTTACTCTTTTAAAATCTTAATGACAACAGAAACTACCCAAATGGCCCTGATCAAAAGTTTACATACCCTGGTGATTTTGGCCTGATAGCATGCACACAGTTGGCACAAAGGGGTTTGAATGGCTATTAAAGGTAACCATCCTCACCTGTTATCTGTTTGCTTGTAATTAGTGTGCATATATAAAAGATCAATAAGTTCCTGACCATTGCATCTTTCATCCAGTGCTGCACTGACATTTCTGGCTTCCGAGTCACGGGGAAAGCAAAAGAATTGTCAAAGGATCTGTGGGAGAAGGTAGTTGAACTGTATAAAACAGGAAAAGAATATAAAAAGATATCCAAGGAATTGAGAATGCCAATCAGCAGTGTTCAAACACTACTCAAGAAGTGGAAAATGAGGGGTTCTGTTGAAACCAAACCGTGGTCAGGTAGACCAACTAAAATTTCAGCCACAACTGCCAGGAAAATTGTTCGGGATGCAAAGAAAAACCCACAAATAACTTCAGGTGAAATACAGGATTCTCTGAATACATGTGGTGTGGCTGTTTCAAGATGCACAATAAGGAGGTACTGGAAGAAAGATGGGCTGCATGGTCGAGTCGCCAGAAGAAAGCCATTACTACGCAAATGCCACGAAGTATTCCACTTATAATACTACGCCAAACAGCACAGAGACAAGCCTCAAACCTTCTGGCACACAGTCGCTTGGAGGGATGAGACCAAAATTGAGCTTTTTGGCCACAGCCATAAACGCTACATTTGGAGAGGAGTCAACAAGGCCTATGATGAAAAATACACCATTCCTACTGTGAAACACGGAGGTGGATCGCTGATGTTTTGCGGATGTGTGAGCTACAAAGGCACAGGGAATTTTGTCAGAATTGATGGCAAGATGAATGCAGTATGTTATCAAAAGATACTGGGGGGAAATTTGCGTTCATCAGCCCGGAAGCTGCGCATGGGACGTACTTGGACATTCCAACATGACAATGATCCTAAACACAAGGCCAAGTCGATCTGTCATTGGCTACAGCAGAATAAAGTGAAGGTTCTGGAGTGGCCATCTCAGTCTCCTGGCCTCAATATCACTGAGCCACTCTGGGGAGATCTCAAACGCGCAGTTCATGCAAGACAGCCCAAGATTTTGCCAGGAAAAATGGGAAGCTTTACCATCTGAGAAGATGAAGAGCCTCATCTACACATACCACAAAAGACTTCAAGGTGTCAATTTTGTTAAAGGGGGCAATACACCATATTAAGAACTGGGGTATGTAAACTTTTGATCAGGGCCATTTGGGTAGTTTCTGTTGTCATTAAGATTTTAAAAGAGTAAACACAGTTGATTGATAATCAATGGCTTCAGCCAACCGCTAACCATGAGTGAAAGAAAAGTTTTTGTGTTATCATTCATATTCTCTGAAAAATGGCCAAGAAATCATAAATTCTGCCAGGGTATGTAAACTTAGGAGCACAACTGTAGGTAGTCCTCAACTTACAAAACTTCATTTAAGTGACCGGCCAAAGTTACAACTGCACTGAAAAAAGTGACTTGTGACCATTTTTCACACTCAACGACCGTTTGCAGCATCCCCAGCGGTCACGTGGTCAAAATTCGGATGCTTGGGAACTGACTCGCATTCATGACAGTTGCTGTGTCCCAGGATTGTGTGATCCCTTTCGCGACCTTCTGACAAACAAAAGTCAATGGGGAAGCCAGATTCACATAACAATCGTGTTACTAACTTGACAGCTGCAGTGATTCACTTAACAACTGTGGCAAGAAAGGTCCCAAAATGGGGCAAAACTCACTTCAGAAATGTCTCATTTAACAACAGAAATGTTGGGCCCCATTGTCATAAGTTGAGGACTATCTGTAGTCACTTATAAATGGTTGTACATTGGGGGCTACCTGTTCTAGCTTTTTTTTTTTTTCTCCTTTCAAAGCATTTCTAATCCTTCTTTCCTAAAAAGAATTTGGAGTCCTTTGCTTAGAATAATGCTTGGTTGTTCCAAACTAGGGGAAAAGGGTTCCGTGGGCGTGGTCGGTTTTCCTGGGATGCCGGGGCCACCTGGGCGCTCTGGCGTGGATGGCCTGAAGGGAACTTTTGGTGCACAAGGAAGAAACGGAAACCCCGGATTCTCTGGCTTCCCTGGCTCCAAAGGTGAGTCAAAAAATTTGCACAAAGCACAGCATTATGACCTCCCCAACTTGAAAGGTTTTGTGTGCCTGCTGCCTTTGCCTTCTGGTGAAACTAGGACTTCTATTTTTTTTGCTCAATGTTCAGTATTGCCTTCTAAAATACATGTTAGGATAGAAACTCCCACTTGTGCAAGCCATGGGTATGTGCGCATGTCTACTGTCAGGATTCCGGCAGTTACCCCCCATTTAAATCATGAGTCTCGAGCCAAACTTCCAAAACTGAAAAAGGATTTATTGGGAGTTAAACTGTCTGGCACTGCCTGGGTGTAGCTGACTTTGAGATACATCATTCATTGTCACCCTTGACCCTGGTTTTCCACCGACTCCCTGGGTGTATCGTAATTCATATTCTCCACTGAGACACATCCATAGCCAAGAGTCATCAATCATGTTCTCCGGTTAGATTTTTGTGCGTCAGAAACTTCAGTCACCTGGTTACTATCTCTGAAAAACGGCATGGAATGCACTTTTGATTTCCAAGCTGCCGCACTGCTCTTTCAAACCCCTTTCCCCCCTCTCTTTCTGTTGGCAAATTTTAAAAAGACCATAGAAATATTTTAGGAGTTGACACTCATGGCTTGTGCAAATGGAGCTGTACACACTCTTGCACTTGCCCACTGCTCATGTGGAATCATCCCCTCTGACCCACCCACCCCTCCCGCCAGTCTGCAAAGCCGGAAAAGTTGGGGGACTGTGTTCTAGTGGCTTCAACCAACCTCAGAGACCACCAAGGACCACCTGATTCCTGTGTCCTTGCAAAAGTCTACTTGCAAGGCAACTGAAACAACTAGTTCATTGCTTTCCTGCTTACAACTGTCATGCCTCTGTTAGAATCTGATTCCAAGGGAGAGGTGGAACAGCCTACAGGGAATGGGAGTGTGGCTCCGGAGGTTGTGGAGGAAACTAGGAAAGGGCACAGGCCGGCTGAGCATTCAGAGGAAGACCCAGGCCCATCCCCTCTTCATCCTAGGGCATGCAGGGAGGAGCGGATAAGGGAGAAATATGAATGGCGTGGTCTACGGGGGAGGAAAGGGCCCTGATCCCCTTCATGGGCTGCGGCTGGGAGGACTGTTTAAAAGGACAAACTGTGCTGGAAGCAAAGTGTGAAATATTTCTAGTCTGTCAGTTCTTATCTGAGTTCTGGCGTCCTTCCCAGTGTGTGTATTTCGATATCTGTGTCTTCAAGCCCTTATCCTGCTTTGTCTCATTAATTGCTTCAGTGTGATTTGTGTTGTTTTTTTCTATTTATAATTTATATGAGTCTGAATGGAAGTTCTTCCTTTTCACAACTGTTTGTGGGGGAGTTTTTTCTCCAGTCAATGATAATTGGACCTTGGAGGCCAAGTTGAAGGAATTAAAAGGACTTTACCTATTTTTGTGACTTTGTTGCTTTTGTGCCCCACCCTGGGTCATCACAACAACTCTCCCCACCGGCTCCATTGCCCTTTTGGTAGTTCTTCTGAATCGGACTCCTATTAGTACATTCCTTGGGAGAGAGATTGGTCTTCTGCTGTTCTACCTACTGTAATATGCAAAGTGCTTTTGAGGCTCTTTAAATTAAGACCATTTGGACTCCAGACCTAGATACCTCTAAGCAGGAATGTCTGGCACTCTCTGGATCAATATAGGTAGAATAAGCATCTTGCTGTGTCCCTCTTTCTTCTTTTGTGCAGGGGACAGAGGTGTCCGTGGCCCTCCTGGACCTCCCATTTTCAGACCCCCAGGCCTGGGCCTCAAACTCAAAGGGAACAGAGGAGATCCTGGATTGGTGGGACAGAGAGGATTTCCAGGGCCAAGAGGTATGTGTTTGGCATTAGGCAGTAACGTCCATTTTACCTGTTTGTCCTGAACTACTTAGGCCAGGGGTGTCCAGGGGTGTCCAACCTTGGCAACTTTAAGACTTGTGGACTTCAAGTCTTAAAGTTGCCAAGGTTGGACACCCCTGACTTAGGCAAGGCTTTCTTTATCCAGTTGCCCTTGAGATACATCAGAATTACACCTGTCCATGGGCTTGACTGTTTTAATTACACTTAGGTGGGAATCCCCAAATCTCTATTGGTGGGAGACTTGCTTTCTTCCAATGGCTATATGTTTGACAGACAGGGAGACTGTATTCTTTAAACGGTGGCTGTGGAAATCAAGATGCTGGGTGATACATCTTCCATTGATCCAGCACAAAAGCAGCATTTAAGCACAAACAGCAACTCGGAGCTCAAAATGAAATATTTTGAAGATGCAGGGAGGCCCATCAAAAGAAGAAGAGAGCCATCCTGTCTTTTCTGTGAATTTGTGGTTAAACCCCCCCGGAAAACAGAATGGCAGTGTAGGCACTGCCTGCGTGATGAGCGAAAAGTCTAATTTGTATTGCATCTTCTCCTTTACCATGTAATTTGCTTATCTCAGAATAGCTGCAAGGTGAAATCTCGGGGGCACCGTGGTTAGAAGGCAGTATTGCAGGCTAACTCTGCCCACATCCTGGAGCTCGATCCTGAGGGGGCTCAAGGTCAACTCAGTCTTTCTGAAGATGTGGTAAAATGAGGACCCAGATACCCTGTTTCTCCAACAATACGGCCTCCCCCAATAGGAAGTCCCAGCATGTTTTATAGGCATGAAATGAAGTTAAGCCCCTCCCTCCAAATTAAGGCCTATATTAAAACATGCGAAATGGGGGGGGGAATGGTGGTGGGGGCTTGCCGTTAGGAAGTACTTTTGTTGCACACCCGGATATGGTGCTGCCTGCGTTGACCCCAATACGAAGTGCCCCACCAACGCCAAGGTCAACATCCAAGCCGTCGCCGCCCGCCCGCCTGAAGATGCAAGGGGGGGGGGAATTAAGTCACCCCCGAAAAGACGGCCTAGCCATTTTTTCGGGGCTCAAAAAAAAAATAAGACCCGGCCTTATTATATGAGAAACACGGTAGTTGGGGGCCATATGCTGACATTTTAAACCACTCAGAGAGAGCTGTAAAACACTATGGGGTGGTGTATAAGTGTAAGTGCTATTATCGTTGCTATCTGCCAATCTGCCCTTTGGAAGACGCATTAGACACAGAAAAACATCTTCTCTGTTAGGATGTAACTTATCTCAGAATAGGCTGAGACATGGGGAAACCTGCCCGTCTTCATTCTGAAGACACACTACATCACTGTTTTTCCTTTCCATAGGGGAAAGAGGAGCCCCCGGTGTCCGGGGGCAGCCTGGGCTTCCAGGGAGAGCTGGATCACCAGCTAGAGAGAAAGGACCGCCAGGAGACCCAGGTTTTCCAGGAACGTTTGGTTCTCCCGGGCTGTTGGGACAAAAGGGATCTGGTGGCATCTCAGGGTTTCCTGGAATGCCTGGGAGAAGTGTAAGTATCCTTTCTCTCTTCTTCTTTTTACTCCTGGTTGAGTGGGAAGCACCTCCACTGGTCTTCCCAAGTTCCAATGGTGGCCACCACTTTTAGACTTTGGAAGTCTTAGTGAACTCCTAACAAGTTCAGGATCCTTTGGGTCCTTCGTATGGGCTTTTATTGTGGCCTGTCAGCCACCAGCCCCTTCAGCAGCTAAATCAGAAAAGGAGGCAGTGCGGGAGTCAGGGTCAGCATCAGGGCAACCTGAGAGCTCCGAGGGGGAAGAGGGAATGGAGCTGGGAGAGAGAGAGAGAGACAGAGGCAAAGCCTGGGCCGTCTGTGGGTCCAGTGCCTGACACGCAGCTGCGCAGAAGGCAGAGGAGAGGAGAGCAGTGGAAATCTATGGGCCGGTCCTTGGGACAGAAGAGCCACTGCTGCTAGCGAAGCCCCAACCTAGCTCTGGGGATAAAAGGCAGGGGGCGGAGATGAATAGGTGTGGCAGACCTTCATCTCCATGCCAGTCCGCCACTGATAGCCTGCTGTGTGTGTGAGAGAGAGAGAGAGACGGTGGGAGGGGGGAAGGGAGAAGGAGAGGGAGAGGGAGGAAGGGGCTGCTGGCATTCCTAATAAAGAAGTCATTGATTTAACAACAGAGAATTTGTCGTCTTTGGGATCTGAGTCAGAACAGTTTTGGTCCATATCTTTTTCATCAGGTGGAAGCAGATTAGACCTATAACTTGCGCTGGATCTGCTTTGGGATCTGCTTTGGGATTATAGCAGATCTGAGGACAGAGTCAGGAAACAGCCTCTCAGCTTTTCCCTGGGTCTCCCGCGCCACAAAAACTCAACAAGTGGGAGAGGAATCTAGACAGAATTTCTTGCGGCTGTTGATCTTGCCGGTGGATTGTGTAGCACTGTGTAGATTGCCAGAAGTGTCTTCAAATAAGAAATCAAAAACCAAAGTTGGCAGTGATCCCGCAGTCCTTCTTTTCCAGTCTCTAAAATCCCTGCCAACTGCACTTTCCCCTCCAAATGTTGTATATACTGCAGGTAGTCCTCGACTTGCAGTAGTTCATTTAATGACTGTTCAAAGTTACAAAGAAACTGAGAAATGTTGACATGACCATTTTTCACACTTACGCAACATCCCCATGGTCATGTGATCAAAATTCAGATGCTTAGCAACTGACTCATATCTATGACAGTTTTAGTGTCCTGGGGTCATGGGATTCCCTTTTGCGACCTTCTGACAAGCGAAGTAGATGGATGGATGGATGGATGGATGGATGGATGGATGGATGGATGGAAGGAAGGAAGGAAGGAAAGAAGGAAGGAAGGAAGGAAGGAAGAAAGAAAGAAAGAAAGAAAGAAAGGAAGGAAGGAAGGAAGGAAGGAAGGAAGGAAGGAAGGAAGGAAGGAAAGAAAGAAAGAAAGAAAGAAAGAAAGAAAGAAAGAAAGAAAGAAAGAAAGAAAGAAAGAAAGAAAGAAAGAAAGAAAGAAAGAAAGAGAAAATTCTTTACTGGCCACGTGTGTTTGGACACACAAGGAATTTGTCTTGGTGCAAATGCTCTCTGTACATGAAAGAAGAGATACATTCATCAAGAGTCATAAGGTACAACACTTAATGATAGTCAGAGGGTACAATAAGCAATCAAATCATACTAGGAAACAGTCAATATAAATCGTAAGGGTACAAGTGACAAAGTTATAGTCATACAGTCACAAGTGGGAGGGGATGGGTGATAAGGAGTGATGAGAAGATTAATAGTAGTAGTAGTGCAGACTTTGTAAATAGTTGGACAGTGTTGAGGGAATTATTTCTTTAGCAGAGTTCAGGGAAAAACTGTCCTTGTGTCTAGTTGGTTCTGGTGTGCAGTGCCCTATAGCGCCGTTTTGAGTGTAGGAGTTAGGGTTAGGGTAAGTAAATGTGGAGGCCGGATTCACTTAACAACCATGTTACTAGCTTAACAGTCATAGTGATTCTTTTAACAGCTGTGGCAAGAAAGGTCGTAAAATGGTGCAAAATTCACCTAACAAATGTTTCATGTAGCAACAGAAATTTTGGGCTCAATCTGTAGTCATAAGACAAGGACTACCTGTATTAAAAACATTTTGTGGCACCCTGTGAGTTTTGTAAGCTTGCACTTTTCAGTCAAGCACCACAACACTGAAAAAAATGACTTAACAACCATTTTTTTTCACACGACCATTGCAGCATCCCCTTGGTCGCTGTAGTGGTTTCAGATTGCTGGTGTTCACAAGAATAGTCCCTAGAAAAGAGTTTCCTGTCTGGATACTAAGAGGCCAATCACACTACCAGGAAAGCTGATTTCAGTGTTAATTAGGATTATTACATGCCATTTCCTTCCATAGGGTGCGGAAGGTATACCTGGCTCCTCTGGCTCCCCAGGAATTACCGGATTGCGTGGTCCAAAAGGTAAGTCATTGGGGTGTCCTTGCTAGCATCTTTAAAAAAAAATAATCAACCACAGAGGGGCCCTTGCAGACTTTTTGCTGAGAAAGGGAAGAGAATGAACAGATGGTTTATAGAGAAGATGTTTAGAAAGAGTAGATTAGGGAAAGAAGGAAGCTGTGATGTCACCTTAGACAGAGAAGTAAATTATCAATGTATTTATAACAGCTGTTAAGTAAACCAGAAACCATTTCTTTTTTTATTCTTCCTTTTTTATATATACTTCTTTTTATAGCGTTGCTTTTCACTTCTCTATTACTTTTTGCCTTTATCTTAACTCAACATTCGTATTGATTATGCTCTGTGGGGGGATGGAATCCTTAAAAAAATATGGAAGACAAAAGAGTACTGGAAAACCAAAGGTTTTTGCCAAGAAAACTCTGGATGTGATCGGGCGATGGTGAATTGTCAGAATCGCTGAGATAAAAAGCAGATGATTATCTTTCCCTTTTCAGGTGACCGAGGGGAATCCCGAGGAATTCCAGGTGGTGTGGGACCTAAGGGCCAACGAGGGGACCGAGGGTTTCAAGGTAAATAAATCAATACCCTACAGTGACTCAAGGAAGGGAAACTAATAGGCTTACCTTAGATTATGTTCTGACCAAGGCTTCTTGAGACAGTAACAATCACACGCTGTTCCCCAACACCTTGTTTTTATTTCAACATTCACAGCCTGTAATGAGTCCCAAACAGTTTGTGAAGAGTCCAACAGAAGTCTGCCACAGTTTTTTTGGGATAAGACTGATAAGCACCCACCTTTATCTCCCTTGAAGTGACTGAATTGCCAATTAGCTGTACAAGGCCAAATGGAGCACAAAGTCAACATGGAACTTCAGAGTTTAAACCGACCAGAACAAACAAAGTTGCTTCCTGCAAAGGCTTATGTCCCTTTGCTCCTCTTTTATGTCATATGGGAGGGGCCAATCATTTCCAAGCCTTATTCCCGAGTCGCCCCTTTGTCTTAACTTTCTTGCATTCTGGCAGCTCTGTGCAAGCGCGCACTGGGAACAGGCTCCCCCTGTTCCTCTGCCTCGCTGATGTCAGATTCTGGAAGCTCCGGAGTCAGGCCATAACTCTGAGATGGCCCTGGCTCCATCTCTGTGTTGGACGCAGATCCCTCATCCAAGCCCTCCCCAGACTCCAGGACTGGCCCATGTTCCTTCCCACTGTCCGACTCTGCTGCCAGCTCCGGACTACAACAGATTACTTTTATTAGTACATAAATTAAATGTCCACCTGTAGGAGAACAACAGGCAGACCTGGGAGTAGAGTTAAGAATGTCATCAGCTTAGAATCATTAACACTGCCACAAACAGTTCATGAGAGCTTATGCACCAAAGACAAATTCCTTGTGTGTCCAATCACACTTGGCCAATAAAGAATTCTATTCTATTCTTGAATTCCATTGAACCTTATCTGGTGCCAATTTAGTATTGAACTTTAGTTGCCTAGCTTTCTTGTGTGAAGGCTTGAGCAATAGGCCTTTTGAATTGCAGCTTAACTTATGGTCCTGACCCTTTGCTGCTGACACCAACTTTCTTAAGGGATCAGTGTTAACTTCTTGAGGCTCCTTAGAAATGAGTGAATGAATGGATGTCAGTACTTGCCAACTGAAGCCCCTGTGGTGCCACAGTGTGGTTGGGTAGCCATGCTTTACGAATAGACATTTGTCAGTTCAGCCTTAGCCATTTCTGGCTAAAAAGAGAGTAAATTCCCACTCATGATTTTAGAAGGTTTTTTTTTTTTTAATCCCATGGACATACCAAGTTCATTCATCTTAAGAGTTGTGAAAACCTCTAAAAATTAGACAAGGGTACAAATTTTCCACTCCAAGAATTTCCTAGGTTGGGGAAGATGGCAATTTAATGGTTCGTCTTATGGTTTTTGAAGGTATAGCAGGTATCCAAGGAACAAGCGGTGACCCAGGATATCCAGGAGGTCTTGGACCAAATGGGCAGAAGGGTTCACCAGGTTACCCTGGACAAGAAGGGCCACAAGGTAACCAAAGCCATTTGTTTTATCGTGTTTGGGGCCGAGACATGTCCTTTGCAAGGTGGATCTTTTAATGCAGAGGGATTAGGAGGTTTTTTTTTGCATCCAGAAACTTCTCCAGAACTTTCACCAAGAGGTCTGCAAAATTGAAGGATACATAAATTATCATGCAAGATTGTTCAAATCTCATCCTTTCCTTTGTCTTGGAAAGCTCACAAGCTCGGTTGAAAGCACATCCCAGAAGAAGACGTGGCATATCACTTCTGTGTTGTTGCCACAAAACTTTGTACCCACATAGCAACCAAGAGTTTACCTTGACTTAAGGTGGAATGATGTTGTGGGTGCTTCATTCCTGGAGCTTTGTGACAAGAGGTTGGACAGCCATTTGTCTGAAATGATATAAAGTCTCCTGCTTGAGAAGGGGGCCAAACTAGGACATCTCCTAGGTCCCTTCGCACTCTATTTTGAAATCAAGAAAGGGATTTGATTTATCCAATCTGGCTGAAATTAAGATGGATTAGACTTGGTCAGTGCCTAGATGGGAAAACTCTAGAAACTTTCTTATATTACTTTATGTTGTAACTCAATACAAGCTGTAAATTTAAATAAATGCTAAGTACTTGATAATTTGATTCTGTGCTTCCATTCACTAATTCTAAACTTGTGTCCTTGGAACTCATTGCATTGAGTTCAGTTGAGTAAGACTCCCAGGTTCTGAAGGTTTTAACATTATGGAGATATGTATTCTGCAATCTTAAGAGCTCAATTTTAAATAGTTCTTTGTTTTTCCCCCCCTTTAGGCTTTCCTGGATCTGGTGGTTTGAGGGGCAACCCAGGTTTTCCAGGTAATCCTGGGCAACGTGGGGCTCCAGGATTTCCAGGATCTCCTGGCACCGTAGGACCAAAAGGTTTGTTTCGCATTTTGGGGTTGTTCTTGAAAACCTTACTTCAAGAGAGAAACTCAGATTGTGGGTTGGAAGGCCAAATCAAAACTTGCAAAGATTCTTGGCATAACACTGGAGAGGAATCAGTGGATCATCAGTCTGGAGAAGAAGGATGAATTTCCTTCTCCTTCACTTATTAACAGCCATTGGGAGTTAGCAATGGGATCAGGGAGAAACCCACAATGGATGACTGCTAAAAGTGTCCTTGATTCATCAATCCCAACAAGCCATTCCTACTTCAGGGTTGATGAGCTGGATTTATACATGAGGACGTAGGGCAGAGTCTTTGATGGTGTTGCTTGGATGAGCAACAAAATATCTCACATTAATAAAGCTTGGTCCAATCGCCATGATTCAACCTTTAGACACCTTTGGTCTAGACCAGGGGTGTCCAACCTTGGCAACTTTAAGACTTGTGGACTTCAACTCCCAGAATTCCTCAGCCAG